CTTGAAATTATACTACAAGGCTACTGTGATAAAATCAGCATGGTACTGGCATCAAAGTAGACCTGAAGATCAATGGAATAGATTAGAAGACACTGATGCCCTACGAACACACTCAGCCACCTTAACTTTGACAAAGGGGCCAAACATATTCACTGGAAAAAAGATAGCCTCTTTAACAAATGGTGCTGGAAAAACTGGCTCTCTACATGCCCAAAACTCAAACTTGACCGGGGTCTATCACCATGCACTAAACCAAAGTCAAAATGGATTAAATTTCTAAACATTAAAGCAGAGACACAAAATCTCCTGGAAGAGAATGTAGGAGGAACTCTTGAAGACAAAGGGCTAGTTAAAGAGCTCATGGACAGAAATCAAATCGCACGGGTAACAGTTAAAAGAATTAACAACTGGGACCTGCTCTTACTGAGAAGTTTTTTCCCGTCAAAAGAAATTACCAACAAAAATTTCTGACATTGCCAGTCAAGAAGAGGACCCAATACTATTATGGGCTACTGGACTCTTTTAGAATATTTTGCTGAGTTCACACACCTATAATATTCAAGTGATGGAACTAAACAAAAATGGGGATGCAGATGAATGTCCACTTTGTATCTGTGTATTCAAAATGGTTCACATAGATATATAGTTACATTCTCTTAATGAATAGAGGGATTTGTTCTAATAGTGTTTGTAAACAGGATGTCATGTCTGCATCTTGTACAACAAATAACCACTAGGAAGAATGTATGCAATATGTTAATTATTGAAACTGTCCTACCAATTTGATTTGAAACTGTCTCATTGCTATTCATTTCTCAATAAAATTATGGAAAAAAAGTATATTGCTTCTGTTTGGACACAAATTAAATGTGTTTACCAAATTTTCATGAATTTTATCCTCAGCATGGTAATGATGTTGTATAATCTCTAGGTAGCAAGGCCTAAGGACAAAAGTATTACAGATGTGACAGGCAACAGGAATTACAAAATCAAAATCAAACCATACTAAAAGCCTGAACATTCCTGTCGTGTGGTCCTGGGCCTTCCTCACATTGGAGCCCATGGCAATCTCTCACCTGTTTTGTGAGTGGTGTGAGAAAGTCAGTGAGATCTACACCATTTCCCTTGGTCTTCAAACTTGCTTCTTTCTCATCTACAAAGCAAAGATTAATGTAAAGTAATGATAGTTGTTCTTACAATCAATCTTATATGATTATTACTCAACAAAGAAGTCTCCTGGTTGTCTTAGATTGAAGAGTACATGCTCTAGACAATTCACTGGAACATAGACGTATTGAGGAACAAGGGATTGGTGTATACCCTTATATAGGGTAAAACTAACTCAAATAGAATGAGGGCAAAAGGAAATTTTACATTCCATTAAAAGAAAAAGGAAAATTCCAGATCTGACACAACATGCAAGTAGATGACACAGCAATGCTAGAATATTTAGTGATGGTTTTTGCTTTCCAAATATTGTGGGTTAAATTTCCCTCTTCTGAAAATATATTCTATGGGATTAGGATACTTGGCTCGTCTATCAGATATTTGCAGGTGTATGCATGTGTGTGTGTTCATTTGTGTCTGAGTGAAATTGTGTGTAGGAAGGATAAGCATAGGTAAGGTGGTTAATAAAGAGAAAATACCTTTGTCATTGTAAGAGAAAAAGCCTTAGATAGCACTACATAATTGCAATTTATTAGTATTAATTTCAATGGATATGGGTCCTGGCATATCATACCTATCCAGGACTCTGCCACATCAGCCTCCCAGTTGAACTGCTGTAAGGCAAGATCATCTTCCAATTGCACCTTCCAATCCTCTAATGCCTTGGCCAAAGAAGAAGTCATTTCTTTCAGAGATTCAATCTTAACAGAAATGGACTCCTTGTTCTGATCCTCCTCCTCCTGCCACAGCACATTGAGGGGAAACCAAGAGAGGTCAATATACTGATACATGTCTAGAGCCATAAATGTTGATTTCCTAAGTACAATTAAGGAATTCTCATCTTTTTGATCCTAAATATATAACTACTTTCTCTTATTCTAGTGTAATTATACCATTATCCATTCATCTCTAAAAGGTTATTTATGATCCAGAATTTAAAGGCTTTTGTGTTTGTGCACATAAATGTGATCTTAATTGTGTGTAAGCTTCTCACATGTATGGTGCTATCTCTGCTTAGAAGTCTTCATATAGCACTCTGATTAATAAAGCTCTGAGAGAAGAGCATTTATGCAAAACAAGTTGCAGTACAGTACCATTGTGGTCCTCCTCCTTGAAAATTTAGCAGTGAATCTCTTCATATGCTCAGAATTTTTTTTGTCAAACAGTGATAAGATCCATATAGGGCAGCAAATGTAATGACAAAATATTTAAGGAAATTGAAAAGTACATATAGAGAACTTTAAAAAATACTTTCATAAAACAATACCAGAGTAGACAATTATTATTGCTGCTGGCAGCAGCAATGATAAGAGACAGTTTACAAGATTGTTAAACTTCTACACAGAGTTTTAGCAGTGCGAAAGAACACTATTCATGATTTTAACCATGCATTTTAATATCTGAGCCACCACTTTTTGAAATGGAAGTTGACTTGGAATCCCTGGAGGAGCTCACCTTATTTAGGAGGTCTTCTCCTTGTCCACACACGTTTTGCACTAGGGCCTCATGAGCAGCAAAGTCACTAGCCAAAGCTTCATGCTTCTTTAGTAGGTTCTACATAAGTGAATCAGTAAATGTCAGAAAGTCCTAGGCTGCAAGAACTGTCTCTACCCACATTCAAGATCATTGTGATGTTATTCATAAGGCTAAGTTCAGGTAATTCTGTAGACCACATGAATACCCACTTCTTCTGGAACCATTCTAGTATGTTTATCTCCCAAGACTCTCCCAGTATAAAAGAGGACAATCTTACTGGATCAAAGAAGACTCAAATGAATATAACTGTCACTGTATTTAAATTAATATGTGACCTTAAGTTGTTTTTAAGTTTGGAATGATGATGCTGATCTAGTAGATATGAAAACAGTTTTCATTATAGACACTTATTTAATTCTAAATAAATATGGCATCCAAAAATATTTTATATCAAGAACATCCTAGACCAATAAGGAAGAAGTTGTAGAAAGAAAGAAGATGTAAGGAAAACATGGAACTGTTTTTCAGTATCACTTCAATTCTTTCCTTTTGACTGCTCTCAGGAAAGATGGTATTTGTGTAGCTGGAAGAATGGAAAGAGAACAATGAAGCATGAAGTGCGGTGCTTCTCCATCTTCTGTTGCATGTTCCTAAGAAATGTCTACAGTTGCCCTCCAAACTCCATAGTGAGACCCTGTACAAAATACATTAGAAAATCACAATAAAATATTATATACTTAACAGAATCACTAAATTAAGAATAGTGATATAGGAGGCCAGTGAGCTAGCTCAGAGGACTAAGTGTCTGCATTGGCATGCACAGGAAACAGGGTTTGATCCCTGATCCAGCATGCTGCATCAGCCCCACTAACAGGACACACTGAGTCAGTGAAAGCATCCAGGAATAATGGTGAACACCTGTAATTTCAGCTTAGGGAAGCTTAAAACAGGTGGATCACTATAAGTCTGAATTGTGAAATAATACCCTGTACCAAATACATAAAAAAGAATAGTGATATAAAGTATCAGCAAACACATAGAGAAATGTTGTCATCAAGCATTGGTAGTGAGTATAAAATGTTACAAACACTCTAGAGAGCAGTTTAGCTTTTCCATCATACTAATCATGTGGTTGCTATATGGCCCAGCATTGGAAATCTGAACATTTGTTCCACAGGACCACTGACTTATGCTTGAATAGGAATTGTTACATGAATACTTACAATAACATTTTTTTCAAAATAGAAACAAAGGGGAAACATCCTGTGTATTTTTATAAAAATGAGTAGATAAATTCCGATATTCTTATGCCATGATAGTATCAGTAGTGAAAGAAATGAGCTATTCTTATATACAAGGGTCCAAAGTAATAATCCAAATATCAGCGAAAAGACCAACCTTTAATAAGTTATGTGTTATATGATTGAATTCATGTACCTTTTTTTTCCCACTTTTTTGGCTACCAGAAATCGAACTGAGGACCTCACATTTGCCAGGCAAGTACGGCACTACTGAGCTACATCTCAGGCTTATATAACATTTTAAAAATAATGAAATTATAGAAGATAATAGTAGTTTCCAGGGAATAAAAATAGGATAAGGACTAGAGAAGGAAGATGTTGCTGTTAAAGAACAGCAGGAAAGACAATTGTGGTGATGGTCACCTTCCAAATTTTATTCATTCATTTGTTTGTTTGTTTCTTAATTTTAGTCAAGGTCTACAGGGTCTCACTACATAGATCAGACTCATAGTGATCAGTGTCCCAAGAGCTGGGATTACAGGGGCGTACCACCATGCTCCGTCTCAATCTCCATCCCAGCGCAGCCTTAGGGTGGGGCCGGAACAGCACTCCTGGGAACTTTCCAAATTTTAACAATGCCAGTATCCTGGTTATGATACTATATTGCAACTTTCTTGATGTTACCATTGATGGAAACTTGGTAAAAGACATATAGGAATTCTTTATGTTCTTTCTTTTTTAAGAAAAGAACAACAAACAATGATATAAAATTTTGAAACAAGATAATAGGATATTAACAATGCTTAACACATTGCTTGCCGTTATCTTGAATATTATTCAATCAATTTTTCACACTTATATCTTGTAATATGAGCAACTGCATTTTTTCTTAAAAGAACGTGTGAATCTATAATTTTTCACAACAAAAAGTTTAAATTTTAAAAAATAAGTCAGTGAGAATATTTGATAGAAAACCTTACAAATGCTTAAACTATGCAGTGTTATACATACACATGTTCTAAAAAGGTTTTCCAAATAAGAGATGTTGGTAATTTGAAATATCTACCATTGAAATGTAAATCTTTCTTTCAGAAGTTTAAAACTTTCCTTATGTCATCAAATAAAGGTGAAGCAATACACACACAAGTTCATGGTAAATTCTCAATGCTTTATGCTATGTGGCACAGTTTTTTAAGTCCTAATACCATTATTATTTTGCAATCACACTTTCAAATCTGTCAAACTCTATAATGCCTCAAGATCATACTACAAACTTGTTCATTTCTTCTTTGGGAAGTCCAATCCTCATTTAAAAGATAGTTTTTAAAGGGGGGAACTATTCAGTCCAACAGATATGACAAAATTATTCCTCTGAAAAAACTATATTCTGGAAATTTCAACCAGTCTTTATACAAAGGAGAGATTTTTCTCAAGTAATCGTAATATGGAAATTTGTGGAAGTATTTAGAAAATGTATAACCTGTAAGTGTGCTGGTCTGTAACAAAAGACTTTTAACCAGCCTGCCTTTGGCTTATGGGTCACAGGCCATGAGTTAAGATCTGGCTTTTGACTTCTTGCCTTTTTGACTTCTTGATTGTTTCCATGATTTTGTGTAAGTCAATTGTATTACCAGATCTTCATTTTTTTATTTTTAAAATTGGCAGAATTATGCATAAGATAGTCATCTAATGCTCCTACCAGGAGAAATGTTTTAATTTTACAGGTGAAAACAATAAGTATTTTAAAAAGGACTCGTATTAAAGACAGGAAAATAGACTTGTCCTTTCTGTTTCTCACCTGAGTAGCAATCGGTGTGTCTCCAGAATCCCCTCGGTCAGCCACAGCTTTCTTCTCTCTGATCCACACTTCTTCTTCTTCTGCACTCTCCATGAACTGCAGGTACTGCAGAGACTCCTCCAGTTGAAGACCTCTGCAGCAGGGTGGTTAGCCAAATGAGAGTAAGCAGATGTAAGGAGCAGTGAAGCACAGTGGGATGGTGCAATCTCAACAAAGCCCACCAAGGATTCTCACAAACCCATCACAGCTGAACTGGGCCAGAGCACAATCTGTTATATGTCTATTACTGGTCAGCAGTACAAATTTCCCATGCAACAGTGCAGACTCCTACCCTAGAAATTCATTTTAGGACACTATATTGAAGAAAGTAAATGCTGCCTAAACAAACAAAAACCAATAAAAAAGCTAAGATTTCAGAGTTGGAGACTTTGCCATAAAGCTATTTCTGTCTATGAGAAGTTTCACCTTTCTTTTTACATCACAAAGGTACCAATACCACAAAGCTAAAGTCTCTTTTTGTTCCCCAGAAAGAAACATCTTCCTTTTTTTGGTGGAACCAGAGATTGAACTCATGCCCTTGTGCTTGCAAGGGAAGCGCTTATTCCACTGAGCCATGTCCCTGGCCCAACATCTTCCTATTGATAATGGATGAGGCACTCTAGAGAAATTATTTTCCATGCTATGTAGCTGAGTAGATCAAATTATCTATGGGGCTACATGGCAGATCTGGATGCTTTCTCTGTTCCATTAAAAAAAGGTGCATATATTAATAAAACTGGGGCAATGACATCAAACAGATCAATGAATAACAATCTGGTATGTGAGATAACACATGTATAAAATAATGGTAAAATATAGTAGAAGGCATTAAGCATTTCAGAATAGAGACAGTGATAATTTCTGTCTAAGGGAAGTAAGAAGTTTCCTAGAAGCATTAAGTTTTGGAGCATGGATATATAAGACTGAAAGGTCCTTGCAGAGATCAGTCAAAACTACAGCAGGCCCAGTAGCATCCTCCCAATGCCTACCAATCCAGTCCTAGGAAGATAACTGAGCCTTCTATCCCTCACTCACCGAGCTTTGGCCAACTCTTTGAGCTTATCCCAGTGTTCAACAAACTGAGCCATCTGCTCCTGTATCTTCTCTTGTTTCTCAGCTGCCTTGTCTTTCAAGCTTTCTGCCATATCCAGAACATTCTGAAGAACAAAACCCCATTGTATCTTATTGCCCCACAATCTCTCCCCATTTAGCTAATATCCCTGGCAAAGTACCTAGTCCTTCCTACTCTGTAGATCATGCCCATGGAACTTGATCCATGAAAACTGGACAGGAGAAAGAAAGCTGCACCAAGATCTATCATGCTAAACTCTCCCAAATACGTTGACAAATGTCTCAGCACTTCTATATGAGGCTATACCTCATATTTTACTTTATGAATTACCCATGGTCATCCTGGGACTAATGCCAGATCAGACTGAGAGACTTTTACCCTATAAGGCTCAAATACAGTTTTCCTAGTTCTCCAAGCCAACATTTCAATTGGTAGTGACTGCTCAGTCATTTAGAAGTGCTCCTTCCAGGACTGAACATGGTTTTCTGTCTAGAACTACCTATTTAGAGCAGACAAAATATGGATGAGTCATGAACACTTGTGTTTGTGACTAGCTCACTGGGACTTTGGCATGCTACCCTTACATTTTGCTGTATCATCTATTTAACTAAAATACAAAGGATTTCTACTGGGTGATTTATATCCCTTAAGGTCTGATAGTCTACTTTACCTGGACAGCACGTTCATGTGCCACCAGCTCCCCCTCTAGGCGTTTATGCTTCTTGAATAAGTTCTGAACATTCTGTAGATCTTTGCCATAATCCTGGGAGCTCACTCGCAACAACTTCTCCCTGGGACCAAGAGAGAACAAAGAGGGAAATTTGGAATTTAGACCTCTCAGGTCATTAGAGAACAATAGTGTGCTAAGGGCATATGTGTGGAGAGATGGTGAGTTCTGGAGCATTGGTACCAAAACTGAAGTGAAAAATAATGGCAGAAACTTTTAGAAAACATTCTACATTTTTCTGATGCAAATTAAAATAATAAGCTTATCTCTACCACTGTATGACTGTAGCCATGTTCCCATCAATCTCTATAAGCTGTGCATCCTGTTTTCTTTACTCAGTCACACACAGTGCTGTTTTTCTTTTCAAGGAGTGTGAAATTTAAATGACATCATGGCCTTTATTATTTTGTCTCTTAAAATCAGTAATATTCAGGTAGAATGAATATAAAGTTGATATTATTAGAGTCATTGTAGTTTTATGGGTCCAATATGAAATATTTAAACACCACCATAAAGGATAAAGACTACAGAGAGAACACTGTGTTATTTTATGACTTCTGGGGTCGTGAAAATGTCCTAAGCATTGCTATATCAACTATCTTTCCCTCTAAATTCATTACTGATAAAGTCAATATATTTGTAGATGAGAAATGTGCTGAGTCGCGTCAAATGACAAGTGTGAGAATATTTTGATTTGCTAGAGTTTCCATAATTTTGTGACAAAAACAGAATTTTTATAAAAATATGAGACACTATATAACATTCTTCTTCTGGTTACCAAGTCAGTATGGGATAAGAAACACTGGATATGGAAATATTGACAATGTACTTATCATCTAGGTAAACTATAAATGCCCAGATTACTCTTCATATTACACATTTCATGAACAATGCAGAATATCTTTCCAGCAGGGTTATGAATTCCTCCCCAGTCTGTATACTCTTCTTCCTCCCTACATTCAGTGAGGGAATTTGAATTTAAAAAATTATTTTTGCTTTTGCCCAAGACAAGAACGATTTAAAAGCCACACCAACATCAAGAAATGAAATATTTCATTTTAACATATGTTGAAACATGTTTGGTGTATTGCATTATCTATGTATTGCGAGTTAGTGATACATACTCTAGCCATGACTCCTCAGCATCTAGATCCTGGAAAAACTGGAACAAGGCATAGTCCACCTTCAGGTTCTCATGGTATGCAGCAGCCAAGCCTTTGACACTCTCAAAGTGCTCATTGACATTCTGTGTTTCCTCTTTTATCATGTCAGTGTTGAAATTTCCACTGGAGAGAAGTTCCTGAGCCAAAGTATTCAGGTCCTGAAGTGCATCCTAGGAAGACCCAGTGTGCTCAGTGAATTGTATACCATAGGTACTACACAAACATGACTTTAATCACTATTGGTTCTGGTTCAAAGTTCAGGCCAAACTTATTATTTCTTGCCTAAGCAGGTGCTTTAGACCACTGAGTTATCTCACCAACCCCAAACTTATTATTTCTGATGATACTAAATGTAAAGTTATACAGTGGTATGTATTTATACAGTATAACATTCAGATTGTATAAAATTCAGATCAGCAAGCAGTTTAGAGAACACAAATATATTATTCAAACTATAAATTTAGTCTTATGTTTTTACCTATAGTTTTTTGGTGAGCAATCACTTCTCCCCATGAAGGACTGCCTTGCATAATACTATTGAATATTATCATCACTGAGTGATTAAAATATTCACCAAGAACTATTCTATTTGTAAAATTTTTAGGCTGGTCACTAAACATACCTAGACTCATGTATGCTTATTACTTTTGTAAGCAGCACTGCCCTCCATTATGTAATAGGAAGTAGCACCAAGTACTGAGGTCTTAAACCTACAGAGCCCTTGACATCCTGTTCTTTGTGAATGCATCTGTAGCAACAAGTAAAACAGTTTCTTTACAGTTCCCCAGTATGAACTTAATGCCTAATCTTATTTTTGTCATGGATCTCAAGTTTTGGTTGACATTGGTTTAAACTGGTCCTTAAAAGGACTTCCGCGGTGCATATGTACTTCAAATTCAATGCACATGCCCAAGGTTATTTTATTATTAATTTCTAATTTTTAAAAATTAAACTTACATGTTCTTCAAGGGTCCATATCAAATATAAAGCTTTGGAAAAACTGTAACTTTCTATACATGTATTAGGAAAAGGGTAAACAAGATAGCTTTCATGATTCACTTCTTGAAATATTAGAGTCAACAGTTTAACAATAATCAACAGTAACTATTACACTGTGTTTGTAGCTGTTGGATTGAGTTTGACCCACTTAAAGGAACAGCTGATTGGAAACACAGTGGTCAGTTCTTCAAGGCTCTGTATTCACATGGTCTACTAAGAAAGGAGATGGAAAGTCAGAAACATCTTCAATCTGCCCAGAGCAGTGGGAGTCCAGAGCTACTTACCTTTCGAGCCAACATCCCTGCTTCCAGTAGCTGGTGCTTCTTGAGCAGGTTTCCTGCTGAAGCCAAGTCCTTGGCCTGGTCTTTCAGGGCCAGCAGCGTCTCTGCCTGGGAATGGAAAAATAAGTAATAAACCTGATAGATGAAATAATGTTCAAATAGAATTACATTGAGCACCTATGTCCCCAGCCATTCTCCTTAACCTGTAAAGGCAATCATTCATATATAAATTGATTTAGTTTTTCCACTCAGCATTCCGCTGTTCTTTAAGAGCATTCCATCTACAGGAGGAATTCAAATCACTATCACCTTCCCTATTGGCCTTTGTTCTAATTATTTTATTTTAAAAGTATCATTAAACCTCTACACTCCAACAATCTCCAGATGAAATTACCTCTGAAAGCCAGAACTGGAAATCCCGGATGCCTGAGTTGAACCTCTGTTGGCGACTCGCCTCATCAAGTTTCTGCCCTTTATCAGTTGTTTTCTCCAAGAGAAAGTTCCAGCATTTTTCTAGATCTTCCCACTGTTCCTAATTTTAGAAATGGAATCTCATTATGATCTTTGTGACCCTGAGTCCTTTGATAATTTGAGAACATAATGTAGGAAAATTCTGGATGTAGAAATTAGGCAACTTTTTCAATACAAAAATCTATTGCAGTAAAAGACACATTCCCATTAGGGTCACTCAAAATACTCCTGTTCACTTCAAATATGCTTAAACCTTCACTGTGGACACTCTCTGAAGAACTTTGGAGGTCCTCTTTCATAAGGTCTTCAGTTGTACATTTAGGGATACCACAGTGTTCTGAATCCATTAAGAAACATTTACCTTTCACAGTTTTTTTTTTTTTTTTTTTTTTTGCTAGGAGGAAGAGGCAGAAGTTGCAAGGTTCCAGACCTAGTGAAATGGATGGCACTTCATAGCAGCATTGCTATATTTTTTATCATAACATATAAAGATACTTAAGAAAAAAGACTCCTGGAACTTCTTCATAATGTAGCATGTATTATAGGCTAAAAGTGTTCCAAATGAGAGGAATCCTACACAGGAGATTAAGGAATGTGCCTTTTATTGTGGTATTTAAATTGAAACAATTACCACATTTTACATGTCCAACTAGTTATGTTTGAGCTTGGAAGATTCATGAGGTTTGGATTTAAAAGGAAGTTTAAAAACTTCCTAAGCTGATTACAGGATCTGGCATACTAATGGCTAAAGATTCTCAACAGAAGGAAAAGAAAATATGAAAGAAGTGGGTTAAGACTTGCAAATAAAGATGAAGCTTCCTTGAAGCTCCAGGGACTGACAGATGGGAATTATGTGGTTTGAGCATTCATTTCATTTATTTATTTATTTTTGTCCTTTGTGAAACAATGAGAGATAAAACTTTGGACCACAAAACATGGCCATATTGGTCATGACCCAGGAAACATTGAAAGAGTAAAAGATTTCATTCATAAGCCTTAAAATACAAATTCATTCTGAGCATAACTTTTACCTCGACAGTCTCTTCATTGCCATTGCATGCTTTTCGCTCAAGGAGGGTTTTGCCCAGGTTCAGGACCCCTTCTACTTCTGTAGCTCGACCACTGACTTCATTTTCAAAGGCCTTGTGTTTCACATACTTCCTCTGAAAGCAAGCAAAAAATGTTATTGTCTTTTAATTTAGGAAAGCAAGATAAGGTAAATTATATTTCAATGGAAAGAGGAACTATATTATCATAACTAAGATATTTGTGATATCCCATAGGACCTGCTTGCTCCACACTAGACTCAGAAGTCCTGAGAGTGTGCACAATGACTTAAAAAATAATAAAGGTCTGGTGAGTATGGGGAAAAACATTCCACCCATATGCTGGAAGTGGAAAAAACTTCCAGGATTCCAATTTTGAGCTGACCTGTATGTTGCTAGGGTCTTTGTAGGTTTCATCCAAGGCTGTGGGTAGCTTCTCCTGGATCCATTCTTTTAGCTCCTCAGCATCTCGGAGGAACTGTTTTAGGTCGGCCAGATTCCCAAGTTTTTCCCGCTCAGCATTCAGCAGTTCTTTAAGAGCATTCCATCTGGAGGAGGAAGCCGAATCACTATCGCCTTCCCTATTGGCGTTTGTTCTAATTGCCCTATACATGAGTATTTCCATTTTTCAGCCCACCCAGTTTCTTACATACAATGTCAATGTTTTTAGACATAAAATGCAGTAGTTAATTTCTAAAGTACATTTTTATGTGCTTTATTCCATAACTCTATATCAGAAAGTTTCCTAAAATATCAGGGTAAAGAATCTACAAAATAGAAGCTCTCATAGTTTAGCCCATTAAGCCACTTTTCTGCATCTTCCTCTAACAGCAGGCCTCACCTGTCGAGCACTTTTTGGAGGCAGGTAGAAATCTGTTGCTTGGCATAGTGGTCATCAGACATAAGCCGATCAGCAAATTGCTTTAAGTTGGTGATCTTTTCTTCCTGGATAAATTGAAAGAAAAACATTCAAATGAATTGAAATTAGGCCATTCATAAAATTCCAAACTCCCTCCTAAAGAAAAAATGGGGACCGGTCAGATAGATCCGCAGACTAAAACACCTGTTTAGGCACAGCGCAGAGACCAGACTTCAATCCCTGACATGCCATGCTGGCTACACCTCTGGGGCCTCCTGGACTGGGTGTGATGGTGTGCATCTGTAATTCAAGTACTTGGGAGACTGAAAACAGGAGAATAACTATGACTTCAATCTATGTAGTGAGGCCCTATAGTTCCTGTATTAAATACAAAAAAAAAAAAAAA